TTTGTTGATTTCAGCCCTCAGTTTGATTATTTCCAGTCTTCTACTCCTCCTGGGTGAATTAGCTTCTTTTTTTTCCGAGAGCTTTCAAGTGTGCTGTTAAGTCTCCAATGTGTTGGATGGCGATACAGACGGAGACCCATATTGGAACACCGAACTGAGCACTCCACGGTCCAAATGAGGAGCAGAAGGATGAAGAAAATAAAAAAAGTAATCAGGACTGCGAGGGATGCGAGCACCCACTGATACAAGGGGACTGATATAATGAGAGTTCACCAAGGCCGGTTGGACTGGGACTGAACGAGGACGTGATCCAACCAGATTCTCTGAATGTGGCTGGCCCGGAGCCTTTTTGAAAAGCCATTGACAATGACACTGGGACTTGCTTCCTCTGCATATACTGGATTTTGGCGCTCCAGTCTGTTTGGACTCTCACCTTCCCTGGACCTGGAGGGAGGGGGGAGGAACTTGAACTTCCCACAGGGCAGGAAACCCTGACTGCTCTAGGGGATGGAGAGGGAGGAGGAGAGGGAGTGGGGGGAGTGGGAGGGTGTTGGGAGGAGGGGCTGAAATGGAAACTTTTATAATTTAATAAAAAAAATTATCCATTATGATCAAATAGGCTTCATCCCAGAGATGCAGGGCTGGTTCAACATACACAAATCTATCAATGTAATCCATCATATAAATAAACTGAAAGAAAAAAACCATATGATCATAAAAAAAGAACATAGATTCAAAAATGCTCAATGAAATACATGCAAACCAAATTCAAGAACACATTACAAAGATTATTCACAACGATTAACTTGGCTTCCTCTCAAAGAAACACGGATGGTTCAGCATACAAACACATAAACAAACAAAAACTACCACATATACTAAAAGACAAAAGCCACATGATCTCTCTCATTAGTGTCGTGGGATTATTGTAACCAAGAAAATGAAAGACTTGCATAATAAAAACTTTAAGACATTGAATAAAGAAGCTGAAGAAGACCACAGATGTAAAGATCTCCCAGGTTCCTGGATCAGTAGGAACAATATTGTGAAAGCGGCCATCCTACCAACATAAAACTACAGATCCAATGCAATCCCCAACTTCATATGTAAAAACCAAAAGCACAGGAAAACTAAAACAATCCTGAATAATAATAATAATAATAATAATAATAATAATAATAATAATAATAAAAACTGCTGGAGACAACACATTCCAGATCTCACCTTGTTTGATAGAGCTATAGCAGTAAAAACATCGGGGCATTAGTATAAAAACAGACATGCTGATCAGAGGATCGAATTAAAGACCCAGACAGAAGCTCACGCACAGAGAGACCCCTGACTTTTGGCAAAGACATCAATGATACATGCTCGAGTAAAAACAGCATATTCAGCAAATGGTGCTCATCAAACTGCATAGCTATGTATAGAAGAAAGAAAACAGATCCATATTTATCACCCTGAATGAAACTCAACTTCAAATGGATCAAGGACCTCAACTTAGTGGAACTGCTACCCTGAATCTGGCAGAGAATAAAGTGAAGAATAGTCTTGAACTTGCTGGCACAGGAAGGGCCTTTCTCAATAAGTACCCAGAAGCACAGGTGTAAAAACCAAAATTAATGATCGGGACCTCATGAAGCTAAAAAGTTTCTGTACAGTAAAAGACACAATCACCGGAGTTAAGGACAACATACAGAATGAGAAAAGTCTTTAACAACAATAGATCTGACAGAGGGTTATTATCTAGAATACAGAAAGGAAACCTAAATAAAAAAATGAACAAACAAAACACTGAACACCAGGAAAAGAATTATCCAAATTTAAAAATGGGGATTAAACTAAACAGTTTTGTCAAAGATGAAACACAAATGGCTAAGAAACACTTTCTAAACTGTTCAACATGCTTAGCAAACAGGGGATGCAAATCAAAACCACTCTGACATTTTGTATTACCCAGGTCAGAATGGCCAAGAATAATAAAACAAATGGCAGGATTTGCAGGCAAGGATTCAGGGAAAGAGGAGCAGTTATTCATTGCTGGTAGAAGCGCAAAGCAGTGTGAGGGGTTTTCAGAAAGCTGAAAACTGATCTACCACACAATCCAGCTATACCACTCTTCGGCTCTACATCTTCCCACAGAGATATTGACTCATGCGTGTTTCTTTCGGCTCTATTTATAATAGTCAGAAACTAGAAAAAGCCTAGATGTGAATAGGACCAAGCGTGGAGAAGGACTCTCTCAAGGAAGTATAGAGAGAATACAGTGTTATAATGAAATGAAGGGCAGCCTAGAACAGGAGGATTAAATGTGGAGGGCTGAGTGAGCAGGTGAAGGAGGGAGTGTGAGGAGGGACAGCCAACATTCAAAGCTCTTTCAAAAGCCATTTGAAAAACTGATACTGTAGATGTTTCCTAAAACAAATACATTGTGAAAGAAATTTAAACATAGTTATCACATATTGGGGTTGGGCAGCATTTCCCAATAGATATAATACGCCATCAATTAACATTTCCAGTACTGTGAATGTGTTACATCTTGAGTCACTAGCCAAAGGAGTCCCAGAGACTCTGCAAGCAGCATAGGCTACTGACAAGTGTATTGGTTACTCTCCACAATCTGACCCTAATGAGACCCTAATGGTAAAAAGTCCACTTACTTATCAAACACTGAGACACTAGAAATTCATCCCTACTAACTAGCATTCATGATTCTAGAAGGTAACTGTGTGCTACTAGAGGTAAAAAGTAGTCATTAATTTCACTCAGCTATAAATCCCGAGATTTGTACTTCAACCCACCTGCAGAATCGCCCACTTTGCAACAGTGTTACAAATATTTTGGGAGTAACTAACCACTTCTTGATTGGATTTAAGGTCTATTCCATGAGATAAAACCTGCTAACAGACCAAGAACCTGAGACTAGATAGGTCATGGGTGCCAGGGGAAATCCTGCTACTATTACTCTGTTAAGCAACATAGCAATGAAATGATTTCTAATGACAGAGTACTATACCAATAGATGGGTGCACTGTCCAGCCCTGATCAGAGAAGCTTCTTCTTATGGTAGACAATAATCAATAAACACAGAGACCCACAACTGGACAATGTGCACAGAATGAGAGACTTTAGAACACTAATCTCTATATAAGAGTATTTTTACAGTCCGAGTGAGTGTTCAGGGTGCAGGTGTATAATAGTATTTTCACAGTTTGAGTGTTTAGGGTGTAGGTGCATAAGTGTATTTTCACATTTTGCAAGGTAAATCTATAACTGTCGCAAACAAGAAATTGTCAGAAATATATTGAACAACAGTAAAAAGCAAAATACAAAGAAACAGTTACTACTGAGGAAAACTAACAGAAAAGACTAAAAAATATGAAAGAAAATTAAAGTTAGCAATCATAATACTTAAGTTAGAATTACCCAATTTCCATTACATTTATTGAAAAACATCAGCAAAATTGGTTGCTAGGATTTATCATCAAAGTTTTCTTTTGGATTTCCTTCCATATTTATCTATGTGATTTCAAGATTCAAGAATTTACCCATTAGGTTTTCGTAGTTTTTTAAAATTCTGCATATCAATATCAACTCCTTCCTAATTAAACAGGGATAAGGAAGGTCACACATAGCATAATATGTAATTCCTGATTTACTCGAGGTGAACACATCACCAAGCTATCACCAAAATCCTCTTCCCTGCCTAACTGGTCTGAAAATGCTGCCAGTGAAATAGCTCAAAGCTCCAGTCACTTTCCCCAAGGGTGGGTCGGTAAACATTCAGGAAGAGGGGACAGAGAGACTGTAAGAACAAGATGCGGGGAGGAGAACCATGAAAACCTGTCACCAGGACACGGCATGGCTGCTGCAGCCATGAACTCACAGAAGAGGCAGTTATCTGCAAGACTTGCTCAACTATCCCATCAACACTCCATCATGGATGGGGGCAGGAATCTTGAGGCCCCACCCATGCACAAGGGCTTGAAAGCAGTTAAAGGTTGCTGAGGAAGAGGTTACACCTCACAGAGAGGTTGCCCATACCAAGTGATTCAGCTCCACCCGTGCCCATGACACACACACAGATATACATGGACACACGCACTCACACATGCATGCACACCACAAAAAGACATCGAAGTGGAAGGAGGGTTTATTGGGAAGAAAAAGGAATTTGGAAAAATAGGAGGGGGCTGAGAGAGGATGGAGGGAGGCATTTAATCAGAAAACATTATACATGTATGAATTTGTGAAAAATAAGTAAAATATCATTAAAAATGGAAAAGTAGCTACAAATGGCCTTGAGAACTTAATGAACATTAGACATCTTCTTTCCTTCTCTTCCCAGTGAGATCCATGTTCTGCTAAATGCCAGGCAAGTGATTTTTCCCACTAAAATAAATTTACTATTTTTAAGTACTAGACATATTTTACCCAAAATTTATTAGAAAATTTCTTGTTTAGAATAAGTTAGAACAAGGCTGAAATGAAAGAGTTGTTCCCACAGACTGAGCACTCTGAGACCCAAGCTTAGTTACTGTGCAGGAGCAGGCTTCTGTCTCAGAACGAGTAACCGCAGACCAATCAGGTCAACACACTTCAAATTAGTGTCGTCTTGAGAAGCAGAGAAGCGGGGCAGTAGGTGGGGAAGACATGTACGAATAAGCCAGTGTTAATTACATATCAGATCGGGAGGCTAGCAAGGGAGGGGGGAACGTCAACTCTACTGCTACTCTCCTTTTTGGTAGCAAAGTTTACTTAATCCCTAATAAAACAATATTCTGGATAATAAAAAGATGATTCTAGTCTATCAAAGAGAAGGTATTTGTGACATTGTAATTCGAACAGTTTCTACACTTTTACTTTACAGTATTAGGGTACTATTTCTGTATTTTATTAATAATCACACATGTATATATAGATATAAACAAAACTAAAGTGGTTACCACAGACAGGAGCATGCAACTCTACACACAGACTCAAGTGTAAGAAAAGTATACCTTCCGTCCCTGTGGTGATGCTCAGAGCTCCGACTGTATCTGGAGCGAGGTAGAGTAAGAAAATGACTGCAAGCGTGGCAGAAACAAGAATAAAATGAGACTCAGGAAAGAAGTGAAAAGGTATAGTTTAGTTCTAAAAGCTGATCCAACAGATAATCAGATAGTAAGCGAAGCAAATGAAATTGCTACTGAAAAGCTTGGCCATCTTCTCAGTGCCCACTGGAGTATGGCAGCGCAAAGGATTAAATAAACCAAATACTCTAAAAATAAAATGCAACCAAATATGACATTTAGATTTTAATTAAATGATAAAATTAAGTATTACTTTAATATACTGAGCACCATCTTTAAGCAAATGTTATGTTTCAAAGATGTTTTCCTTATTTTAAGGAGAAAAGGTGAGAAGAAAAATTTAATAAAACAACCAGCTAGCGTAAGGACTCAGAGGTGACATCTAAAATCTATAATGCTTAGGATATTTAATGAGGCTCCGTTTTTCTTTCCTTGTTCCATTCCTGGCGGCTTACATCAGGTTTCTGCATCCACTGAACAAGTTTCCTACCTGCAAACCCTTCCTCTTCGGACCCAGGTCGCTCTTCACCCACTTCCTGCTCTCTCTCACCCACCATGCCACTGCCCTCCATCTAGGTCCAGCAGGCCCTAGAACCCTCCAGGACAGGACGTGGTCCCCAACCCAGCTTGTCCATGCTCAGCATTCCAAGCCTGTCTCCACTCTCTATGAAAGTCCTACGCATCCTTACAGTCCGGATTCTCTTTGAATCCTTTTCTATTAAACGTGAACAAGTTGTTCTCTTCATAACTGCTGCTTCTGTTCTGACAATAGCAGACTCAGTCTCACAGCATTTTACTTTCTATAATTAGTAAATATATAATAATGTGTATAATAAATCAAGATAGTGTCATTTCTAAATTTCTGTACACAATGGATGACCCACTACGTAGTTATGAGTAGACATCACATTTTAGTAATTGGTTGTCTTTATATAAGATATGAATAAAGGCCAGGTGCTGGTGGCATACGCCTTTAATCCCAGCACTCAGGGCTCAGAGGCAGGTGGATCTCTGTGAGTTTAAGGCCAGCCTGGTCTACAGAGCAAATTCCAGGACAGTCATAGCTACACAGAGAAACCCTGTCTCAAAAAGCCAAAAAAGAGAAAAGAAAATTGCATCAGTATCTGAGGTAACCTAGAGGTTTACAAATCAAGGTATTTCCATTTCGAGCATATAAATCCCTTACATGAAAACTTATCCTTTCTCTTCTGATAGTTAAGCAGAAGACAGGAATGATTATGGGGACACAAGGAAGGAAGGAAATCTAATTGAAAGCTCTGCCAGCTGAGAAGCAAGAACTCCAGCACCGTCATCTTTACTTTGAAAGTTGCTAACATGAAACACTATTCTTTGCATGGACAGATGTCTTACATTAAAAGCCGAAACCAGCCACAAGGCCCGAACGTGCATGGTCATGGCAGTACTCATGTGTCCCCCTGGATGTTTGAGATGCTCTAACCAGGCTGCTGCCTTTGTGGGCTGTAACGTCACGCTACTTTCTGATCCCTGTGATCTTACCACGTGCCATCCCAACAGGAATCCTCCTGGAAACACCCTGAGATCTGATTTAGACCCCTTAGCAAACCACTGAAGTTAGTAACTTCGAAAGGCACTAAAATGGTGTAAATGACTATATATACAAACAATGAAAGGGGACTCTGTCTTAGGGAAGCCCACACCTGGGTTCTGAACTCTTTCCTTCTGAGCACCTGTCTTTTCCTTCACCTTTCCTCTTAAATACTTTTATTAACATATCATTTATCTAATCCCCAAGCTGACTAGTCCTTGTATTCTTCTCTATGCCAAAGCCACACCATTCAGTTAGCACAGAGCTGAGGTCCCTAATAGACTACAGGGACTCTTCCAGATGTGGAGGGGGGCAGCTTGGAGCTATGCCTCCTCTACTCCACCAACTCGGATTCTAAAACTTTTCTTGTGATACTAAAATCATACTTATGGAAATGAAAATGACCAATATAAAAATATACTGCAATTGGATGATTGTGGTGCATGCCGTTAATCCCAGCATTGAAAAGGCAGAGGCAGACTGATCTCTGTGAGTTTGAGACCAACCTGGTCTACAGAGTGAGTTCTGATACAGTCAGGGCTACACAGAGAAACCCTGTCTTTAAAACAAATTAACCCCCAAACCCAAAACCAACAAAAGCCAAATATATGTGTGTGTATGAGTGTGTGTATATGTATGTATATGTATATATATGTACTACATATGTTATGATGTTATTAAAATATATAATACTCTCTACATATATTCTAATAGTAAGTTAACTCCTACAACTAAAATCTTAAAAATATCCTGTTCTAAAGCCACATGTTCATATCTCTCAAAACTGATGATCACAGGGAAACAACAGTTACCATAGTTACCAGCGTTTACTAAAGAAACAATGAGTCTAAAGGTGCAGAGAAAGGGGAATAAGAAATAAAATAATCTCCATTTACAATGCATTAAACTAATAATCTGCATGCAAGTGCTTGCATTATTTGTAAGTGGAATTGACTTTCCACAACAGAGTAAGATTTAGACTAATGATAACAGAGTGAGAGAGATAAGAATCAAAGAGGCAATAAGATATGGTTACAGAATTTTTAAATGCTACCCATAAAGATAATGAATGCTATATCTCATGCATAACCCTGAAATTTAATAAACTATAATACAATGCAAATAGCTACATATCACATGGAATATCAGTGTAAAAGCCTTCACACACAATTTCCCAACATGTTGCCAAATATTTCACACCAAACTCCATGATGTGGGATGTGTTTTGTTTCTGTAAGTTTGCTCTTGTTAATTGAATAAACATTCCCATTTCTCAAAGGTGCCATCTTCTATATTTGGCCACAATACCTGAATCAACTAATTCCTTATTTTTTAAAACTTTTCTCTGTTGTCATTTTTTTGTTATTTCAGGCTGTTAATCATTAAATATAAAATATTTGAGAGTCAATGTTTTCTTAATGTTATATGTACGGCACATTTTTTTTCATTAACTACTACAAATTTTTCTTTCTTTTTTAAAGAGTGTCTTATACAGTTCAGTCTCTCATTGAACTAGCTAACTTGAATGCCTGAACCTCCTGAACTATCTTGTGAGGACCAGGATTACAATATGCACACTGCCTTGCTTTGATGTGGAATGTCCTTCTGTATATATGCTGCTTTTATTGGTTGATGAAGAAAACTGTTTTGGGCAATGGCAGAGTAAAGCCAGATGGGAAATTCAGAGAGAGAGAGAGAGAGAGAGAGAGAGAGAGAGAGAGAGAGAGAGAGA